ACAAGAGCACTCAATCCGTCTACTTGCAGAGGTTAATTTATTGAAGGCGACTTGACAGCTGTTTGAGCGAGTGGATGGACGAGGAAACCTATGGATGAGGGTATATGAGAATCCATGCTTACAGATGTCGGTAGACAGATAGCTAGATGCATCTACATATGGTTAGTTGGATGGATGGTCCCATGCACGACTTGTTGGAACTTGGTAGGGAGAGGGTGGGCGGCAAGTGGAGGGAAGGCCGCAATAAACGGGTGGAAACTTGGTCCGCTTTAATTCAGAAACTCCGATGGCACTGACCAAGTCAAGACAATGTTAGAATAAACAAATGAAGACGAAAGCATTTCGAACTTCACGAGTTTGTGAAGTAAACTTTGCTGCACTGTCTACATCACCGTCGTTCTGTCTGAAGAATTCTTTAAAAAATACGGCAAAGGCTGAGGAAAATTCAGCCGTCCTAGTGTGCTTCTTGTCCTGCAAAGTCCAGTTGTCAACTAGATGTTATAAAGTGATAAATTTATGGTTTTGTAAGACTCATTATTGTCGTTATTCGTGTTTGTTTAAATTGTAACGATGCGGAAGACAATTTCGCGAAATGTGAAGCCAAAGGGCTTTACAAACGAGGCATGTGTGATGACATTCGGCATATCGTGACAGTACTAGACAAATGCAATTATTGCCCTATTGCAACGCCTGCTCGGGAAATTGTAGACTTTGGAAAAATGAAGAATCCGAGACAACTACACCCATTTTGAAGAATGCTTAAATACGCCAAAATAGTGACAAATTTTTCTCTGGACATTAACAAGAATCTGTTTAAAAGATCAAAGGAATTAGCTCAACTAGCTGAGATTTATTATCAATAATATGAGATGTATTCACCATATTTCGTGTAAGGTGATGAAGAATTGGTAGTAGAATTTTCATACAATGATATGAGTAGAACTTAAGTTTCCACTCAATTTCACATAGCTTTGCTTTCCCAAAAGTTGCACTACCTTAAACGAAATAGGGTGAATACATCTCATATTACTGATTTACTGATAGTCTCGACACTCTACTTAAATACGAAAAATTTCTAATCAAAATACTGTATTTCACTCAAAAATAGTAGAGGCCGATTAATAGCTTGATAAATCACTTCTGGCACTTTTGATTTTCTGTGAAAGTGTTGAGAGCAAGCTAAGAGAATCTCCTCAAATAAACAGTCTTGGGAATACGTTGAATTGAAATACTTGTGAATATAGTTTGTTGGACGACTCAAATAGCATTTGTTACTTAGAAATAACTGTTTTCTCACCAAAAAGCCCATAAACTTTACCATACCGAAGATCATTATTACGTAATCATGGCGAGGCCTTTCTCTGAGCCAAAGCAAAGAAGCCATCAAAACTCTGCCATAGTTACTCAAAGATATCGCTCATGATTTCGCCTCCATATGTACATATACGTACACACAAACGTACACAAAGATTACATAGACGTGTAGAGACAAAAATATAAAAAAACAACCTTATCTAATAGTTTGACTTTCTCATGAAATTTGATCATTTATTTCGTATAAAAGTTTGATGGAAATTATTCACAAATTAAGCGATGTGATTTAAAGACTGCAAGTTAAGTTTTTTCAACAATGAGATGAGTAGGCCTATTTATGTCTCCAAATTTCGCTTGGCCTTTTCTCCCACCAGATCCTATGAACCGGACTGGACTGTACATCCGGCCAAGTATTAATCGCATCAGTTCCGCATTGGAATTCGACACCAAGTCTTATGCATTGTTGCAAAATCATTACTCCGCTACACAACCATGAGTGCCAGTGGGTCGTAGGACAGATACTATATTCGAGGCAAGTTAAATCACTGATATATTGGGATTGTCGACGAAGCATAAATATGGTTGTCATGGCATTCGGCAAAGTCAGTTTGACCTGAATTGAGCTTGTTTAAAATCTGTCAGTTATTCTTGAATAGGAAATGATGTGACTGTCGATTTGAACAAAGAAATGTTCGATTCGCTCCCCCGCTCGATTTATGGTGAATTCTTTTGAAGTATAATTCTGACGAATTCTGTCATGGAGACATACACATTAACTCACCATGAAGTATTAACAGTTGAAGGACATTGCATAAATGACTTCTTAACTTAATTCGAAAGTCTCACTTCCAAGTCAAACTTTGTTCGGTTTCCATCAAGGCTTTTATATAACATTAAACGTCTAAAGGCATAAAAATTGATAAATGACACTTATATATTCGAATAAAAGTTTGCCTATAAATATGAATTCTCCCACAGAAGTACGTGAGTTGTTAATCTTGTTTTGATAAGAGAGCCGTACTTGCCGTGTAACCTAATTCAATCTGTGTCGTGTGGACTAGGAGGTATCATGCTTGTCTTTAAACCCATGCATCTATGACATAAATCCCACCGGGATTGTTAGGGAGACCAAGAAGAGGTGTAAATGCGGTATCTTCCGAAGGATAATGGCCCTTTAGTAAAAATAGCGAAAGCAAATTTTATGTATAAATCACGTTTCTAGTCATTTATCCATAGACCTTTTCAATGTCAGTCCAATGAAATCAATTTAAATAGGTTCAGCTTTACGTGAATAAAGTTAACAGAAATAAAGAGCAAGATGATGTAGTCCTTGGTTCGGTTGAAGTCTCTTTTCACCGTATACACTTTGTTTGACCTCGTTTTACTAAATTATTCGTGTTTTGAGGAAGACTTAGAAGAATGTGCTCCACCTTACATCCTCTGACATTATTATCATGGATTTATAGACCATTTTTTAGGCACAGTTCTTTAGGATAAGCTAACATCATTGTCAATGAGCAAAATTAGCGTTACTTTCGGGCTAGGTTTAATAAAAATGGCATGTGCTTACGCCTCAATAAACGCATCCGATGGGAAGCAAAAAGATAGTATTGGAAGTTATAAAGACAAACATGGCTACCAACTTGAGTGCAAAAGAGACTTGACCATTTTAAGTGGGATCATATGATAAATATGCAGAGGTATGATAAAGCCCAGCTACCAGGATAGAGGAACTGAAAGATGTTGCAACCATTCAACATACAATTATTCAGTATGACAATTCATAACTCGGTGATAATGTTTTATAGTCATATATGATAATGAAAAGGACTAAAAAGATAGCAAACCAACAATTAAATGAGTAGGCCTCATGTTTCCATTGAATTTAGAATATTTCTGCTTTTAAAAATGCATTCGTTTCTATGCGGAAGTAGACTACAATTTCTCATTGACACCTGCAGCAGGACTCGAACCCAGCTAGTACAGAGTACATTTCTAGTCCCGCTTAGGGTCAAAACTACAGTCCACTCCTGCCTGGACTATAATACTTTGTGGAAAGCAAGGCTATGTGAAATTCGATGAAAACATGATTAAAGCCTACTTATATTATTGTGCGAAAATTCAACCATCAGTCTTTCATCACTTCAAATTAAATAGGATGAATGCAGTTCTCATTCAAGATCGCCTCGGAAACATATTGAAAGAAACCCAACCAATAGTCAGATGCTGGAAAAGGCCATAACAATGCAAGGCACGCTCTTCGTGGTCTTTCTGAAAACAAGTCAAAGCTACGAAAACCAGGTCAAGCCTATCCTATTCACGACTTAAGGTTTAACTTAGGCTAAAAAATGAAATGGGGCATCTTTGCCTCATCTACTCATTAATTGGTTAAGAAATTCCTCCAGGATTTTAAAGATATCTGTATATGCTAAAATCTATGTAAATGTGGATAGTTAAAAATGTAACTCTCATCGATAACCTACTTGTTTTAATTAGCAAAATTTGTTACAGCCTGTCGAAAGTAAAGAGGAATGTATGCCTGATATAAAGTCGGATAAATGATTCTCTAATTCTTGAGATAAAATGCAAAACTTAATTCGGCCTATAAACGCTCGTAGGGTATCTTGTATTTTGGTGTCCTTTTACACAGAAGAACTTTGTGGAAGTCCTCTACATTTTAGGCAAGTGCCTAGGGTTGTAGAGTATTTTTCCTCCTTAGTTGGCATTATTTGGCGATTTAAAAAAATAAGTTTCTTAGATTCTGTGTCAATAATCTGATATTTAAAGTTCACCTAGTCTTTATTAGCACCCTTGTCTGATATATCAATAAGATTTTTGCCATTTTATTTAATATGCCCGAAGCACATCTCCGTAAGCAAACTTGTCTTTTCAGGCTTGCTCAGAAAGCATGTGTATGATATACTTTTAACTCGGTAGTGAAAGGCGCAATGCCCATATTTGACCATGTGATTAACTTCACCCTCATATCAGGACTCAGACTTACAGTATGGGCGAGCATAAGCCATGAAAACAACCATTTTGAGGTCATGGTGGGCATCGGTTCGGAAAAACCGAGCAATCTAACATGACATTCAGATTTTATGAGGAATCCATGATCCGGGAACTTTCATGTTTCTATCCAAGGATTTCAGATGAAGTATCAAACCAGACTTTTGGAAATCGCCGTTTCTACCTAAACAAGTATGCATGTGTCCTGTATTACCAGTTACAAAGTTTTGCTCAGGTTTGACTTCATTAATCAAAGCTATTTCTCAGCAGGCAAACGAAAGTTCAGATTACAATTCCTACATTTCTGAGTGGACTTGGTTAAAGACTATTACCCTCAAATGGAAGCATAGATGAATATAAATCACAGCAATTCTTCTTCCCAATTTCATTGGAGCCAATCCACAGAGTTTTT